CAGTCAAGTGCCCTTCATTAGGGCAAACTCTGTGACACAAACAGGACCCAGGAAGCCACCTCACCCACCGCCAGCTGAGATAATACCTCTGGGCAGGCTGCAGCGATCCACCACAACGCTTTTTTGGGTTGTTTAAACCTGTTGCCAGTAAAAGCCTTTTCTTTCTTCAGTTGCAACAGAAGCAAGAACAGAATATGATTGTTTAGGGCCAATACTGACCAGTCTTTGGCTGTAACGGATCCTTTCTTCCTCAGGCTCCATCTCCGACTCTTCTGAAGAGAGTGAGAAGGACACTCCAGGACTGCTGTCTTCCTCCTCTTCCTCCTTTGAAGTCAGAGGGAAATAGTGAAGCAGGGCACACAGACACGAGACACCTACCTCCCTCATTTCTTTGCTCATTTTGAGGCCGATTCCATACCACTGTGCAGGGCTAAGTGAAGACAGTGGATGAGCCCACCTCACCTTTTAACGCTCCCATTCTAACTTTAGGCATGACCTAGGGTAAATGACTTTACCAGCTGTTCTGTAACACGACATGAGCTGCAGGTCTCAGATCAGGAAAAGGCCTCCGCTCCGCACCGCTAGCAGCGCAAGTGGCAGCTCAGTTGGCCCACACTGGGACACAAAACAAGCAAGCTGCTGTCAAACGCTCGACGGCAGTCAGGGAGCAGCCTGCTTTCCCCGGAGCACAAGATTACGCATTAGAGAACCAACTCCTCCAAACAACGCGATTGCCGTCCTCTGGATATCCTGTGCCATGGCACTCGGGAGAAGCTGCTCGGGTACAGAACACCTCCCGTGAACAGGGAAGGCGTATGGGATCTCTCCTACATACAGCGCTTCAGCACAGGTGCAGGTATGGGACTAACTCCTGTCTCGAGAAGACCTATGTGCTCAGATCTCAAAACCTGCCACCTTGTGACACCACGCAATAACATGGGAAAACCTCCCAAAGGCGTCAGATGGCACCTAAACTTTTGGGTTTTTTTAAAGAAACCGAATGAAACCAAAGCCTAGGTATCTTGCGGCTCTTAATCCCCGTGACTATGCCAGACCTTCGGGGAAGGAATCCGCCACCCTGTGTAGTGTTACAGAACCGCTACCATAGCGTGGAGACAACTTGTTTCACCCTGCTCTTCCCCGACCCTCCGAGCCCGGTTTGACAGCAGAGCCCTTCCAGTCCCCGCCAG